GGACACCAACGGATACAGCTGTCAGCTTCTCCTTAAACTTCTCAAAGGAACCAAAGTCACGTTTGATGGCTTCCAGTAATTCCCCTTTGGGTTCTCCACCACCATTAGGGCTCAGGTTCGTCCAGAAAATGCTGTGATTGATATGACCTCCACCATTGAACTTCAGGGCAGGCTGAAGTGCTACCTGAGTCGTAACGTCTCCCTTGGCCAGCGCCTCCTGGTACTTCTCCTCGGTGGCGTTCAAGTTGTTCACAGAGGTTGCATGGTGCTTGCTGTGGTGCAGCTCCATGATCCGGGCGTTAATGTGAGGCTCCAGGGCCCCATAGTCGTAGGTCAAGTCCGGGAGGCTGTGCTTCTGCCGGGCCCCCAGGATCCCCAAAGCCGGGGCCAGCCTCCGACTCGCGCTGCACGCCACATAGGGTAACATGGCCCTGCGTCTCACACCACACGCCGCTCTGTTATTTCCATTCTTAGGATTCTTCTGCCAACATTTACTTATTCTCTGTCTTTGCTTTATAATTCTTGGTGTGAGCTTATTTTTGACAGTGATTTTTACTTTTCTCTGTGAGTCTTTTATTCTTTTGTAGTAGAAGTGTCTTCATAGACTAAATTAATTTTATATTTGAATCTGCTAGGAGGAGATGGTTTTACCAGTATAGAACAGTTTTTATGTTAATACTAGAGTCTTTGCTTGAGAGTTCCCATATAATATAGGGAAATTCATGTTTCCTTTCCAAGCATACGTTTAAATTTTTAATCTTTTTCATGAGAGATTTTTTTTTTTAAACATGTATTTATTGTGTGTGTGTGTGGCCAGCTCAGCCCACCTGGGGGCGGGGTTGGCTGGCATGTGGTGCTGGGGGATCGAAGCGCTGTCCCTGTGCTTTGCCAAGCTTGTTCTAAATAGGTGCTTTAGACCACTGAGCCATCTCTCCAGCCCCTTCATGAGAGATTTTATAATTTTTTTTTCCTGGATTAATTTCAAACATTTGGGGCCAGGGAGATAGCTCAGTAGAATAAGCACTTGAAGGGCCTGAGTTCACTCCCTGGTTCCGCAAAAAAAAAAAAAAAAAAAAAAAAATCATTTACAGAAAGTGGAACATACAGAAGTTGACCAGATAGTAGCATGGATCTCATATACCTATAAAACAGAATTAATAGTTGTCAATTTATGATGTATTTTGTTCATTTGTAGCCTCATCCTTTTTGTTGGATTAGTTTGAGAAGAATCTCATATATAATATCATTTTGTCCTTGAAACAGCCTGTATACTCATCAGGAAGAGATTAGATAAAGATGTGGTATCTAAATACAGTGGAAAATTACTCAGTTATAAAGAAGTACAAATTTAAGATATTTGTAGAAAAATGGATGCATATAGAAAATACAGTGCTGAGTGAAATAAATCAAGCACACATTTTTTTTTTTTTTTTTTTCACATGTATTTAGTCTACAGGATCTCACTATGCAGATCGGACTTGTAGTGATCCTCCTGTTTTTTAGCTTCCCAAATGCTGGGATTACAGGCGTGCACCACCATGCCCAGTCTCAGTCAGTCTCAGTTTGCCCCCTGGGGGTAGGGCTGGCACGGCACACTGGGAACCCTGGTCCCTGTGTCTGCCTAAGCAGGTGCATTAATCCACTGAGCTACCTGGCTGGCCCCAGGCACACAAATTTAAATACGTAAGTCTCTCATCTGAGTATGGAAAGGTACAAAAATTAAAAGAAACATAAAGGAGAGTGGGAAGGGGTCCAGGGACCACAGTGGAGGGCAGAGGAGAAGGGGTGGGGAAATAGAGTGAAGAGATGCCAGGTACCAGGTCCTCGTAGCCTCTAATCATGGACATTACATGCCATAAACGTCAGCTAAGGTGAATAATGACAAAAATGAAAGAATGGGATTCAGACAAAAGAAACAAGGGCCTGGGATATAGCTCAGTGGCAACAGTGTCTTCCTGGCAAGCTCCTACTAACACCCCAAGATGAGTGTAAAATGCATGTATTGCAAACATTTATTAGTAAAATAATTTATTAGAATATAGAAAATTATAAATAGGATAAATAATGATAGTGATGATAATAAATATTTTGTATTTCAATATGCATCTCCAAAAGACAGATGTTTTGTTTTAAAATTTAGTTACTATGCCATTATCATATCTAGAGAAAACAATGTTAATATCCAATTAGTATTCACATTTCCAATTGTTTCATAGATGTTTATTTTGCTTTTGTGAGATAGGATCTTGTAAATAGCCTGAAGTTGTAGTGATCATCCTGCCTCAGCCTTCTAAATGCTGGGATTACAGATAGGTACTACCATTTTTCTTGTTCTTTTTTTTTTTTTTTTTTTGAGACAGGGTCTTGCTATGTAGTTCAGGCTGACCTTGAGCTCACTATATATAGCTCAGGTTGCTCTTGAATTTGTTGCAGGCCTCCTACTTGACCCACCCAAGTACTGGGATTACAAGAGTGTGGTAGCATGCCCAGCTGTAATGTTTGTTTTTATGAAAATTTTTAATTTGTCTACATAAGAATCTAGATAAGAACACACAGGGCATTTGGTTGATAAATGTCTGTTCCATAAATTCTGTCTCCATCTGTTTACCCTTTGCAATTTATTAAAGAAACCATTTTTGCCTGTTAGGTCTTTACAATATGAGGCATCAGTAGTTGGTTTTATTTATTTTTATTTATTTATTTATTTTTTCTGGAACCAGGGATTGAACTCAGGCCCTTGCGCTTGCCAGGCAAGCACTTATTCTATTGAACCATCTTACTAGCCCAGTAGTTGGTTTTAGAGATTTGATTTTCTGGATAGGGGGAAGCTATATCTTTTTTTTCTTTGTCATGTAGTTATATGATGTTTAATATGTTCAATTTTTTTCTAAGTATATGATCATTTTTTATTTTTATTTTTTGTATTTTAGGGATGGGTCTACAGGGTGTTCAGGATCTCACTACTAGATTGCACTTGTGGTGATCTGCCTCTTTACAGCTGGGATTACAGGCATGTGCCACCACACCCAGTCTTGATTGCCATCTCAGTGTGCCCCAGGGATGGGGCCAGCACTGGCACGGCAAACCTGGGGATTGAACCCCTGCCCCTGTGCCTGCTTGCAGGCACTTTAATCCGCTGAGCTATTTGGCTGGCCCTTTATGTTCGCTTTAGCTGAGCTTGTTCTAAGTAGATGCTTTAGACCACTGAACCATCTCACCAGCCCTATGTTCAATTTTTAAACCATTTATGTTCTATCACTCTTATTATCTGGAATAGTTATATGAAGAGAAGCCTTCCTTTATCAGATACAGTCTGTTCAAAAAATGCAAGATTAAGTACATGATTCTCAGTTTAAAAAAACACAAAAAAAATGGAGTTGGTTCCCTACCATTTGCAGTACTGACCCTTAGATTGCATCAGTATGAATTAATAGAATTTAGACATTAAATTCTGTAGTATATTATTATCATTAACCTTATTGACATTGAAACAGCCCTGCTTGATTGTATGTCCTTTTGATCTGGCTTCAGTAGTCTTCCTTGTGTAGCTTCTTTGCTGTCTGGCATGACCAGGTGTTTTGAATCATCTTCAGCACTTCCTGCCCCTAAGACCAGTTGTCTCTGATGAACTCTGGTTTCTTTTAGGGGAAAATGATCCTATGAGCTCACAATCTGACTCTTAGTGCTACTGACTGGTCTTTGTTGAGATGTAGGAAATTTCTTCCTTTTTTTCTGTTGTCCTGGTGATTAAATCCAAGACCTTCACACTGAGCTACATCTCCAGGCCTTTTAAAGATTGTTTTTGGAACAGGATCTCAGCTAAGTCACTTAACTGCCCAGGCTGAAGGATTTATAATCCTTATTTCTTTTTTCTTTTCTTTTTTTTTTTTTTTTTGCGGAACCGGAGATTGAACTCAGGCCCTTGCGGTTGCCAGGGAAGCCCTTATTCCACTAAGCCATCTTCCTGGCCCAAAATATTTCTTTCTTTCTTTCTTTTTTTTTTTTTTTTTTTTAAAGGATTTATAATCCTGACTCTGCCTCCTAAAGAGCTGGGATTACTATGCCTGGAAGAAATTAATTAATTAATGTTTTATGTTTTTGGTATAGGGTCTTACTACGCAGCTCAGACTCACAGTGATCCTCCTGTTTTCAGCCTCCCCATCACAGGGATTACAGGCATGTGCCCCCATAGCAGTACTCTGTCTTGGGCTCAGTGTGCCCTGGTGCAGAGCTGACATGGCCTGTGGTGGCAAGGATTGCACCCGGGTCCCTTTGCTTACCTAAGCAGGTGCTTAGTCTGCTGAGCTATCTCACTGGTCCAATTTTTTTTATTTATTTATTTGTGTGTGTGTGTGTGTGTGTGTGTGTGTGTGTGTGTGTGTATGTGTGTGTGTGTGGCCAGCTCAGCCCACCAAGGGGCGGCGCTGGCTGGCATGTGGTGCTGGAGGATTGAACCGCGGTCCTTGTGCTTTGACTAAGCTTGTTCTAATTAGGTGCTTTAAACCACTGAGCCATCTCACCAGCCCCTGGTCCAATTTTTTTAAAAGATAAAAACACATGCTAAGCCGGGCATGGTGGCACATGCCTATAATCCCAGCACTCAGGTGGCTGAGGCAGGATTATTGTGTGTTGGAAAATTGCATAGGTTACAAAGTGGGCTCAAGGGTAGCTACAACTGCATAGTGAGACCGTGTCTCAAAAAGACAGAAAACAAAACTTGCTAAGTTCTTTAAATTTCTTATACTTCCAGTTCAGATTCAGGGCTACAGTTTTTATTTTATCTCCTATATCTTATTATTTTCTCCTGCACCAAGAATCATAGATCTTAAGGATATTAAGTGATAATATTAGAATATACAGTGTGTAATTAAGCATTATTCTATTGTACAAAATGAGACTTTTTCCTTCGTAGTAGTCAGCTCAACTGGACAAGTGTGCTTGCTGCTTTCTCACATCCTTTTCCATCTTTACCCTTCTGATCCACATCGAGTTGACAGTGAAATCTGCTTTTTTTTTTTTTTTTTCTTTTTTTTAATACATGATCTATGTATGTCGTTCAGGCAGGCATTGAACTGATAGTGCTTCTCTTGCCTCAGCCTCCAGAGTTCTAGGATCACAAGGGTGTGCCACCACTCCAGACTGAATGAAATCTTTAAGAATTTGACGTTAATGTTTCTCGTCTCTATCCCCTTCCCTTTAAACTCATCTGTCGTCACTGCACTGATCCAGGCCTTTGTCACCTCTTCTTTCATCTCCTACTTTGCACCATTCACATGGCTGTGAAAGAGTTCCTGGTCAGAAGCAGTTATTAGCAGCTGGTGTCATAGCACAGGCCTGCCATCCCAAGCTGAGGCAGGAGAATTGCAAGTATGAGGATAGCCTGGGCACTATAGCAATACCCTGTCTCAAAATTAAAAAAAGGACTGAGAATTGTAGCCCAATAGCAGAGTGT